CCATTTCTTCATGGAGAAAAACTCAAATTACTAAGAGGACCTCAAAAATACAAAAAACCGTCCTCTATGGTGGAATTGACTTTTTGAGCTTGTATTGCAAGATGGAAGGTTCGAGCTATATTTTTCTCGTGGCAATATTTCTTTTTAGAAAAAATTCTAAAAGTCTACCGAAAAGCTAGTTTTACGAAAATTTGGGTTTTCAGGCTGTTTTCACCTATTAAAAAATTCACTATTCACTCAATAAACATCAGAACGGGTTCAAGACTTTAGAATATAGAGTATTTAAGCTATTCTATATTCTATTTATGAGAGATCTTAAAAGAAAGTTTACAAAATTCTAAGGTTTTTCAAAAGGGTTTCTGGAAAACCTATTAATACAAATATGCTTTTTCGATTTTTTCGATCTTATAATTACCTTTAGTGGAGAAAATCGACCAGGTCCTGAAGCTCTGAGCTCCTTCTGATGTTTATTGAGTGAACAGTGATTTTTTTAATAGGTGAAAACAGCCTGAAAACCCAAATTTTCGTAAAACTCGCTTTTCGGTAGACTTTTAGAATTTTTTTAAAAAACAAATATTGCCACGAGACTCAGCATGATCGATTACCTATAGTCCATCCGTTCTCAAGGCTACCAATAGTCACCGAGTGCCAGTCCTGGGACTCGCAAGAAATCCGACACAACACCCGAGCCGCAGAAAACTACTACTAGTTTGGTTTATGGAGTTAATTAGTACCCCTTGGGGTACTTTGGTTAATGGCTACAGTTAATATTCGAGTAATTCGGCGACGAGTTGTTAATGCTGGAGTCGTAAACAGTAGTATCCAGACTATCTCAAGAATTCAACAAGTCGATCGTCAGTTCACTTCGATGTTACTTTTGCAAATCCTTGTTTCGGTCATAGCACCGATACCATATGTCCTTCCAAACACGTACAGTGTTGCTACAGCCAAAGTTCTCATGATCGATAGAGTTAGTTCTACTAACGATGGAAATGATCAGAAACAATTCACTAGATTATATGAATGTGTTGAAGAAGGTTGTGTTAATTTTTTTGAACTTGGTAACTATTTTGGGCCTGTTACATGTGGAAAACATCATCGTATGCCTAAACGGCCGGGCAAGAAATTTTGCACCTCCGCAGGTCCTTTTAATCCATTAAGTTCTCATAGGTTAGATTCATGCGACATAGTAAAGCATTCGAACGCATTAAAGTAGGCAATTTTGCGCCGCTAATACGTGTGAACGCGTTAGAAGGTCCAAAATCGAACCTGAATCGCAGGTCCGAAATAGTGCCCCAATAGTGCTCCACTTATTGGACTAGAGTAAAATTTTCAAAGAAATTCCAAGTTAAAATCCGTAAATATGTGACGTATATATCGACAATGTATGCAGAAATTTCGCCTTTTCAAATTTCATTTTTTCTGAGCACATTTGCGATCGTGAGTACCGTCTGAAACAAAACGTTTTTCACAATTTCTAAGACGCCAAAAGATAGAACAGATTAAGTTCTATTAGTACTGCTGCTTGTATCCACTTTTAATCAGTATATGAATGTGTGCGAGAATCGCCCAGAGTCAAAAATCTGCTTTTAAGTCGATGAATGATGACTCATCAGGGTGAATCTCATATTTCATGCGTTAATCATGACTCATCGCTCTGTTTAATGGAAGGTAACTGACTGTGCGCCTATAATGACTGATAATGCGGTAAAATTCTGTCATTTCCTTCGTTAAAGCTGCTGAACCCATTATACAAAGTTCCTGTTTCTATAGTCCTCGAAGACGCAGAGAACGGAAGCTTGAGGCCTAAAGGCAAAATTTAAATGCCTTCACACACGTTAGAACTGGTGAAAAAGCTTTAATCGCAAATCGTTCTGAATGCAATGATGCAACAAAACTGCGTAAAAAATTGATTCAAACCCATGGGGTCTTGTTGAGATCTTACGAATAAGTACAAGGTAATTCATAATCAGTGTATTTTGGAGATAAATGCTAATTCTTACAGTCAAGAATATTTTCAAAGCAACATAAAGGTGATATTTATAACCCGCGACTTCTATATTTGGGACATTTATTCAACAGTTCACAATTCATGCGTTTAGCACCGTTTATTGAGCTTGCTTAAGGAAGAGAAAAACGATTTCAATCCTATTTGGGATTAATACGAGACAGTGACTCAATTTTTCGCTCTAGCAGAAGAAACGATGAAATTTTTTACAGGATACGTACAAAGTAAAAAAAGGAAAAGAAGGGCGTACAATGACTGCATAATGTAAATAAGTAAACTTACTGTCAACAAAGAAAGAAAGGATTTCGAGCAAAGTGAAGTCATTGAAGAGTCGACAACTCAGTAGAAAAGACCATGGTTATTTCCTGCAGATTTGTAGACAGGTAATCATACTACAGATCTATACATTTATAAGCTGCTTTTATGAACTACAGGCTGAAATTATCGTATATGTGGTGTATGAAATGGATCAAGAACAGCCCATTTTTCTTCGCACTTCTCGTCAAAAGCATCTTCTTATCTATCAAGGCTATTCGTACATTCAAGACAGGCTTTATAAAAGAAAAATCTATTGGAAATGTGAATATTCGAGAAATCCATCTATACAATGTTGCGCAAGAGTACATACTGACACAGTAACGAACAAAATCTTACCCTTCAAATCTGAGCCGCATAATCACGTGATTAACGTGTTTCGACCAGAAGTACGAAAAGCATATGACGTTATAAGACAAGTGGCGAACTTACCATCATCGTTTGACGAAAACTCCGTATACAAGTTGGTTGGAGGTTATATATCAAGAATGTCAATAGGAGCGCAAGAACAACTGCCAAAGAAAAAACACCTCAAACGACTATTGATACACCATCGAGATAAAAATATCAAGAAACAGCAGCCTTCTGGACTACCAAAAGAGGAAGAACAGTTTATCATGCATGATTGGGGATCGGAGGTAGTATTTTCCACAAGAGAGAAACTGGATTTACTCGAAGACTCGGTAGATTTCCTCGTCGATACTAATCATTCAATTTCACTGCGTTCATTTTCGAAATTTTGTATCCTTTATGCCAGTGCTCAAGGACATTTTACGCCCGCTGTGTATGTTCTAATGGAAAAGTCGTCTCTGTCATATGAGCTTCTCTTCAAGCAGGTATCGCAACTGCTAGCCGATTGGACTCCCTTGTCAGTCATATCTAACTTTGATAATGATTTAATTCAAAGTATCAGAAAAACATTTCCAGAAACAGACGTTACCGGATCCCATTTTCACTTCAAACAAATTCTTATGCGACACTCAAATTTTGTTATGTTATCTTACAAGCCACCGAAACAAGTTGTCGAATGCTTTAATCAATTAAAGAATGAATATGACGATCAAATATTTACTGATTATTTTCATGCAAATTTTATCGATCAGGATGCACCATTCTCACTCAATTTCTGGAATATTCACGATAATCTAAAACAGTCATTAGCGATCGCCAGTGACATTGAATACTGGCACAATTACTTTGCACATCGATTAATCAGTAATGAAAACTGGAATGACCTGACCTTATTTCTAGAACACTTGAAAATTTTAGACAGGCAGAGTACCGACAACTTGCCCACGGGAGAATGATATCGATGAACTGAATGATTATATAAATAATGTCCAGATAAATTGATTAGGTAATTGTTCACTATGTCCGAAAAGAATGCGATGAACGATCAAATAATGACATCTGCAAAAATAAAATTTTTCAGATAGAAATGCTATTATTTTTATGTGCATCAACAAAATAAAATTTTTAAGAATGAAAACGGATTTGGGGAATTCAGAGAAGTCTAACTTCATTTACTTCTGGAAATAATCAGTGCTAATAAATGAAAGGAGCTGCTAATGTCATGTTCATTTCAATCAAAAAACCACATAAACAATTTTCGTTTGGTATATATCGCTCTACTCCGATTGCGACACACATGCACACACATCACTCATAGAAATCACTTTATGTGTATAAGCAAATTTTTACTGATCATTTAAATGTGGCCCAGCTCACTGGTAAAAGTGAATTTGAAACTTCAGCTGCGTTTCTTATTTTAATCGGAATGCAACTGCACTATATAAAGCTACATTTATGGTGTAATTCCTTGGGAAGTGTCTGTAGTGCAACAAGTTCTGGAACTTCATTCAACGGAACTCATGACGAAATTTTTTGTTGATAGTTTTACAAATACGTGCGGTTTTTGGCACTTTCTTATCCAAACAAATCCAAAGCCAAAAAGTGTATTGTTTCTGTGCTCGTTATCTTGTGCTGTAGTTTTACATGCAAAACTGCACAAAAGTCAAAAAACTTTTTGCCTTTTGTTACGCAACATTTCTTTTGCGTTCCACGTCTTTTTTATGCAACTTTTGCAAGATTTTATTTTTACTATGGAAATAACCTTACAGCACCATAAGCGCAAACTTCAGAAATTGGCGTCAAATATAATTACACGTGACTTTGGCACATATGGAAATAACCTTCTTCAGCAACACTTAACAAGCGGCATGGCCAGTTAACGGTCCACCTTCGGATGCAAAGGTTCAAATTTTTGTTTTAACTTGAGCAATGCTTGAAAGTATATCATTCGGCGTAGTTTTTCGCGCTGATTATGAATCTGCACTCAAAAACAAATTAAAGTTAAATTTTCATAGCGAAAATTTAAATTTAAAAAGTTTTAAATTTTAAATTCAATTTCGTGATCTAGATATTTTTTCCAAAAATTCCGAAAACTATACCATCAGACAGGGAATCGAATTCTCTACAAAATGCCTCATTTATTTTCATGTTTGGATGAGAAAATATTTTTCTGCTTTTCTGAAAAACGTTTTGACGCCTATATGTGAACAGTTTTATGCCCATTTAATCTAACTTTGAAAATTTGTTTTTGGGAAGAAGCGCACCTCAAACTATCTATCTATGTGCAAATCAGAGCTTGCTAAGTAGTTCTGTGACAGAAAAGATATATATCAAACCATCTGCAAAGAAGAGCAAAGAATGGTGAAATTCAGTAATGGGCACTTTTATTCGATTTCCTCTGCCGGGAAACTAATTCAAGAAAAAGTCAGTAGTGATTCTGATAGATCTAACTGTGAGCTTTAATTTGGTAATCTAGCAATCATTTTAAAATTAATTTAAGGTTGAATAATCTGCATTTTACTAAAATCTGCCGAAAAGCACTTCCATTTTTTGAAATTTCGTAACGGCCTCTATTCTGACTATAACTTTTGATCCGCTTGTTCAATCAGCTCAAATTATTTTTGGTAGTAAAACTCCCTAATATCCATCATTGGTATAAATTTCATTGATAAATGTTGCTTCTTTGCCGGGATAAGGGGCACGGAAGACGAAAAAAACGAAATTCTGTAACATTTAGCCAAAGACGCAAGGAATAAGGTAAACATTGACGATATATCGATGACCTAGCAAACAGAGAAAAAGATGAACACACTGACAAAGAAGAGAGAGAGAAAATGGCAAATAGTGAAAATTAAAAATTGAAATTGCAGACGAAAAATTAAGAAAAGATCGAAAAAATCCTGTTGTTCTTGTGTTGCTGAAATTGGTAGAGAAATGTTTTCTGGTGTGGCATTACAAGAAAGCTATCTGACCCTTTTTAGTCCCACGCATAAGGCGTGAGGTCTACTGCATGCAGACCTCTCCCAGGATATAGAAGAATCCATTTATAAATATTCCCACGCAAATTTCCAGTCGGTGTTGTGAGAGAACGCACCAAAAGGCAAAGCTTTGAAGAATACCGATCATGATGAATCAGCACGATGAGTCATCGGGTTCTGTTTTCTTTCGCGTTCTTACACGAAGAAAAAGGGACGGGATACATTAGAAGGGTAATCGGCTCACTCAGATTTTTCGTTTCCAATGAGAAATATAGAGTCAGTGTTCCTATTGATGGCAGGAAAATTTTTCTTTTTCGTAAATCTCGATTTTCTCAGCCATTTTTCAAGTGATGAGAGGGAATTTTAGATTCCAGTATAGAGGAGACAATTCTCTACCCAACTATGTAAAAAGTTTCCAAAACTAATTCAGTTTAACTTAATCACAATGATAAAAAGAAGAGACATGCTCAATTCTTTTGCGTTCTTGCGTGTTCTCAAATATGACAGACAAGCTATTTTTTGTTTCTATCAATGGCAGGCCCATTCAAATACATGGCGTTTTTTACAGCCTCGAAGAAAAAAAGTTCTTTTAACGGACAAAATTAAAACTTTTTAAAAGCAAAATATATAGAAATGTTCCTCTGATCACGAGAAATCGGATGGTACTATTTTTTTATTGAAAACAGACCGGATTTTCACTTTCATCTGCGCCACAGAGCAAAAGTGAATGTCCTGCGATCAATAGGAACTGTTCTCAAATATGACAGTCAGGCGATTTTTTGTTCCTATTGATGGCAGCTCCATTCAAATACATGGCGTTTTTACCTATCGTCAGAAAAAAGTTGTAATTGCTACCCGAAGTAAAAAGTCATCATATGATTCTGTAACAAAAAATGTTCTCCTAATTAAGGACTACATGCTCATATAAAGTGAGTCTGAACAGATGAACTTTACTATCGAAATAGCCTATTATAACTTTTTGCTTATTTTTCCACTGCAAAATTAACTGTTACTACAGTTTTATGAAATTTGACCTGCTCACAAATTTTGCGCAGCAAACTAATCTGAGGTGAAGTTTTTTGCTGTGTTTGCAGCAACAGAATTGCAGTATGTTTTAGATAAAAAAACATGTCGACATTGAAAAAGCAGAGGCTTAAATATACCTCGAATGATTTAAAAGCTGCAATAGCCAGTAACTTTGATTCAGTAGCAGCCGGAAAAATGTACAATATTCCCTCGAGCACCATTAGACTTCATCGTGAACAACCATTATTAGGATATAAATCTACAGGAGGAGCTTATCTATTGTCGAATGAAGAAGCTCATTTGGTATCGTCTCTACAACTGTTACCGGAGTATGGATTCGAATGTACAACAGAATTAATATTAAATTTCGCACATGATTATATGAAATCATTGGATCATACTTTAACACCTGGACGAAAGTGGTTTAATTATTTTACAGAAAGAAATTGACAATATTTAAAATGAAAAAAACAATCTAAAATGGAAAGAATTAGAGCTGAAAAATTTACCGAAACAATCAGACGTGCGTGCTTTGATTTATTGCAAAGAACGTTAAAAACCTAGACCTCTTGGATAAGCCAAATCACATTTTTGATGCCGATGAGACAGGTTTTTCTGATAAAACGACAGATAAAAAGCATGTTTTCATATTTATAAGATAAGATTTTATTTTTACTAAAGAGCAGGATATCACAAAAAAAAGAAACAAAATCTTGTGGCATCCGTGGATACCCTGTGATAACCTAAAACTAAAAATTTAAAAATATTTATTGCTTTGTTTTTTAGGAAAATGGGTTGTGGTCAATTCTAGTACACGGTATGCATATGAAACCTCTGGAGGTACTGGAAAACAGTACACTACAGCTTTAATCGCAATTAGTGTTTGAACTCAAGTTCTGCCTTCGTTAATTGCGTACTCGGGCAAGAATTTGCTAGACACATGGTGTCGTGGTGGTCCAGATGGTTCCCATTACACAGTGAGAGACAAAAAAAGTATGTAGATTTTTAATAGACACTTATTAAGTACTAATGATTATGAAAAAAGATGTTTCAGCGTTTATAGTTTGTCTACTTTTAACAGGGCTGGATCGATACAACAACGTCTGAATATTAGTTTGAACAGATGTTTATCCCAGTTACTGGCCATCTTAATCGTCCTCTGTTGTTAATTATTGATGTTCATATTACTCATGTTAGTGTGAAATTAATAAATTTGATGGAACAATACCAGATAGTCTGCCCGATGCTTGTATCGCACACAACCCAAGCTCTGCAGCCACTTGATGTTGTTTTGTTTAATAACGTGAAGTCCGATTGGACAAATGTAATGAAAATTTTTTTCGAAGATGCTTGTAATAAAACATACAAACGTTCAGATGTATCAAAATTAATGAAAAAGTTATATTATAAGAAAATGTCTTTTAGCACAACGAAATCATCTTTCGCACGTGCTGGTGTCTAGTCATTCAACCCAAACACTATAATAGATAAAGTCGTTCCAATATCACCGACAGATTCTTCAGCAACAACAACAAATGCTAGTAGTTTACCACGTCCGTTGCCAACGAATATTTTGATACCGTCATATCGTCCACCTGATACAACGTCCACAACACTCACAACAAATATTGATCTTTCACTTTCTGCTTCATTTAATTGTGTACCAACATCACTTGTTTCTCCTGTTCCACCACTCTCGACACCCTGTGCTACTACAACACTACCAGCATCAGCAACGAGACCTCCACGTAGTCCAACGTTCATAGCTCCAGTTTCAATCAAAAGCGGTTACCATTATCAGTCATTACTAATATTCATTCATCCCACTCACCAAGACCATCAAAGACTAAATCAACAGCATTGCCAGGACCGATCACACCATCACTAATAAAAACATCTTTATCAAGCGAAAAGTTCATTAGTCTACCCGCAAATGTTTCTTCTGTAATAGACAGTGCTTTTTCAAAATTCTCTAAACCTCGTGCACGTAATAATGTAGTCTTCTCTTATATTTTTCAAATTTCTCAGCAATGGAGAGGAATTTCAAAAAGAACGAGTTATACTTTTGTAGTACGAATAAAGACCGATGGAATGGCGCAATACTGAACGTTCTGTCTTTTACCAAAAAAAACTAGATAGCTTTTTCCGACGAGGTCTCCGCTGTGGAGATATCCTTGAAGATGAATTTTTCGCGTTGACATTACATATGCGAAGCATCAAAAACATACTTTTTAATTCAATTTTCAACGCTGAATTAGAAAAAAACTGTTTCAAAATAAAAGGAGAAAAAGTATTCAAGTTTTTTCGAAACGGGAAAGTTTTTCGGATTTTAAGACCCTTCCCGTATTTTCAATTTTTCGATGCACAAACGTGCACTGGGAAGGCTATAAAGACGATATTGATGATCAGCTTCAAATTCTCTATCGAATCATATATAAAGAAGCTAAAAGTAAAATAGTACTCGATTTTCGAATTACGCACGCCTTGCAAGTGTATTAACTGTAGTGGTATTCATTGTACATGCTTTTTGGACACGCCGTCCCGGTTCAAAATCAATGTGGTTGAGGTGATTTGGTAGAGAATCAAATGCTCTACAAGATAGGCCAATAAGATTCTTAGCGAAACAATAACTACCAGTTCAAAAAGTCGTTTTACTAGAAAATAGAATTTTTTTAATTTAAAAATTTTATTTGAGTTATTGATGGGTAATAAACGAAGTAAAAGTAAGATTTTTATAGCAGCTTTATATAAATTCATTTGAATATAATCACATTGAAAAAACAGTCACTTTTTGAGTAAAACTTTTCACTCCATTTTTAAAAAAGTTAAAACTCGAGACAGGAACGTTTCTAACGTTTGGGCCTATAGGTAAATTTGGCCTAAACTTGGGCCTATAGGTAAATTTGTACGGAGAATCAAACAGACATAGTTAGAAAAGAATCTAAAATTCTCACACGTTATGGACTTTCTCGCTAGCTCGGCGGACTCTTTCTTAATTCTTTCGTTGATTATATCAGTAAAGAGGATCGAAGACAAATATCGGCAATAGAAGCTACTTTTCGATTTTTCGCCAACTTTGATCGAATGCCATGGGCGAATTTGGAACTCCCTGCAGATGAAATGCAAGAAGATAAAGTGCTGTAATGTCTTTATCACCCGGATATGTTATCAAGCGTACCAGTCGTTAATAAAAAAACACGGACAACAAATTCTGTATTCGTACGCGAGCTCATCGGCGATTGTTCCCTCAATGTGGATGATCCAGCAGTACTGCTGCTGGTAGCAGAAAACGAACTCTTGTTCAGAAAGCATCCTGTGATTGTCAGATGAGAAAATTTCAGTGTTTGGTCGACTTGGAAACGAAGGATTTAAGGAGGTTTGTGATATTCAATCGAAAAAAGTGATCTGTCCATGAGAGATTACTACATGTATACTTTAATCCTGCCCCTAAACTAGATCTTTTCTGATGACACGCGCTTGAAGATACAAGGGTGGACACAATGAAAGGTGGCAATGCTTCAGTTGATCCGACAGATTTCAGTCTGCGTGTATCACACGCGAAAATCATCAGGCTCTGGAAATTCAGGCAGTTACATCGATCCTAATAAAGGTTTGGGATCGGGTTGTAACCAACCGGGCGTTCTTATTCTTGTCACCTATTCGTGAAATTATATGAAGCATACAAGCTAGGGCGGGTCAAATTGTAGGGAGCAAAAAAAATCGATGTTTTACCTATCCTAGCGGTGTTCTACGGGTCGTTTTAAGAAACTTTGCCCAAGGAACTATAGCTCTATCGTAAAAATCGAGCCTCCGTATTTTTGCGAGTAGGTATCCCCGCAAAAATCCATATTTGGCATACATTTAAATCAATATTTCAAAAACTATTGATCCGATCAAATCGCTTAGACACGCGTTGGAAAGCTGA